TATTACGAGGATGCTCGACGTTGACGGTCGACACAGATGAATGATCTGTATTACGAGGATGCTCGACATTGACGGTCGACACAGATGAATGATCTGTATTACGAGGATGCTCGACATTGACGGTCGACACAGATGAATGATCTGTATTACGAGGATGCTCGACATTGACGGTCGACACAGATGAATGATCTGTATTACGAGGATGCTCGACATTGACGGTCGACACAGATGAATGATCTGTATTACGAGGATGCTCGACATTGACGGTCGACACAGATGAATGATCTGTATTACGAGGATGCTCGACATTGACGGTCGACACAGATGAATGATCTGTATTACGAGGATGCTCGACATTGACGGTCGACACAGATGAATGATCTGTATTACGAGGATGCTCGACATTGACGGTCGACACAGATGAATGATCTGTATTACGAGGATGCTCGACATTGACGGTCGACACAGATGAATGATCTGTATTACGAGGATGCTCGACATTGACGGTCGACACAGATGAATGATCTGTATTACGAGGATGCTCGACATTGACGGTCGACACAGATGAATGATCTGTATTACGAGGATGCTCGACATTGACGGTCGACACAGATGAATGATCTGTATTACGAGGATGCTCGACATTGACGGTCGACACAGATGAATGATCTGTATTACGAGGATGCTCGACATTGACGGTCGACACAGATGAATGATCTGTATTACGAGGATGCTCGACATTGACGGTCGACACAGATGAATGATCTGTATTACGAGGATGCTCGACATTGACGGTCGACACAGATGAATGATCTGTATTACGAGGATGCTCGACATTGACGGTCGACACAGATGAATGATCTGTATTACGAGGATGCTCGACATTGACGGTCGACACAGATGAATGATCTGTATTACGAGGATGCTCGACATTGACGGTCGACACAGATGAATGATCTGTATTACGAGGATGCTCGACATTGACGGTCGACACAGATGAATGATCTGTATTACGAGGATGCTCGACATTGACGGTCGACACAGATGAATGATCTGTATTACGAGGATGCTCGACATTGACGGTCGACACAGATGAATGATCTGTATTACGAGGATGCTCGACATTGACGGTCGACACAGATGAATGATCTGTATTACGAGGATGCTCGACATTGACGGTCGACACAGATGAATGATCTGTATTACGAGGATGCTCGACATTGACGGTCGACACAGATGAATGATCTGTATTACGAGGATGCTCGACATTGACGGTCGACACAGATGAATGATCTGTATTACGAGGATGCTCGACATTGACGGTCGACACCGATGAAGGATCTGTATTTCAAGGATTTTTCAAGAAAAGAGTAAGAGCGCTTGGTGTAAGACCGAGCACTACCCAATACGATTACTATGTGTAAGATCGACACTGCTCATTTTGAGCTCTAAGTAAAAGACCTACATAACTCATGCTCGACCAGAATCCTTCCCAAAGGAAAGTATTCCATTTCAAAGAAGCTTACTGGAACACCAAACGGTCGAGAACCGTTTAATGTCGGACACACGTTATCGTAGGGAATTTGATATTCAAGTTTCACTTACGTTCACTACTTCTAAGCATGTAAATTTCATATTCACACGTATCACTCATATCATACATTTCAACCAACATATACTATGTTCATGCAGTACAACAACGTACGACATTTCAACCAACGTACAACCAATATACACTTCATATTTATGATCATATACCAAAAATCAAATAACACAGTTCATAGTTCATGCGACACACATAATGTTCATACAATACAAGACAAACATACGAATTAAATTTAATAAGCTTCCCTTACCTGGGTAGCAGTGTACTCCCGAAAAGTAAGGTTTTGTCCGACCCCTAACAGCGTCCTACCCTCAGGTTTCGCTCGACAACTTTCACTTAATCGGTTACAGAACTAGGATCTGTTCGGTTCGGATTGAAGCTCACGGTGCCAGGAACGTTCCTACGGTTCTGAAACGTGATCGGAGAAGAAGAGGATGAGTTACAGTAAGGAGAAGGTGAAGGTTTCTAGAGAGAAGTTGGAGAAAACGAAAGGTTGGGTTCTGAGGAAGAAGATGAATGGTGCAGGTGAGAGGGAATTTTCAAAAATTCTAGTTATGTCAACTCACGTTCGGTCGACGAACGTCTCCCAAGTTGACACCTGCACACCGAACTCTGAAATGGGAAGCTTCTCCCGCGACAGGTTGCGTGTGTGCATGCAGTGTTTGGTACGTTTTTAATGTTTCAGAGAAATGATGGGCGCGGATTTTCCGTGTACGACAGAGAGGGAGGGGATCAGATTAGGTAGTGGGTTTTACTGGCTGAGTAATGATGTGGCGTGCATTAATGGTGAGGATGTCAGAAAATTATCTTTGCTAAAATCAAGGGTCTTACAATTGTTATTATTATAAAATTAAATATAAACATTATAAATAGTTTTTATTTATTTTGTAAATTAATTTATAATTAAAAAATAATAATTAAAATTAAAATAATGATCAAATAGATAAAAACGGTTAAATTTGGAAAAAACAAATACTTAAAAGGTAAATTAATAAAATAATTATTATAATTTAAAAAAACTTCTATTTAAAGTATAAAATTGAAATATAAATCTGGATATTAAAAAAAAGAACTTTCTTTTTATATAGGTATAAATACCATACAAGTATCGTTGAATAATGTGAAAATGATAGAACGTATGTTATATCACTTAATAAGTTTTTGTATTTTCCTTTTCATTTTTCTAATTTTGTTGATTTTATATTTTCTTTCACATTAATCTATATATTTTAGAATTTAGAGACAAGTCAAAAGAAAAATGAGAATGGTATGGAAAGTGAAATCTAAATCCACCAAGAGATAGCTCTCTCATTTTACAATATTCTCTAATTCAAGTTGCACCACAATAAGGTTAAGAAGTTAAAAAAAACATTTTCATCACAAACCATTAAAAAAATAAGAAATTAAATGAGAAAAACTTTTCCAATCACAAGTGGATCTAATTAAAAAAATATTGTTAAATATTCTTATATTTCTCCTAAACACTTCATTAATCAAAATATAGGAGTATATATAAGTATTTATAAATATTATAACAAATTTATTAAAATATAACATCACTTATATAACTATTAAAGGAAGCATTATACATCCAATAAAAAAACATATACTCAAAGAAATGCATATAATATGTTATTACAATTATCCAAAATATAATTATAATATCATTTATATATATATATATATATATATATATATATATATATATATATAAAGGATTTTATAATACTGAGAATGTTATTACACCAAAACTATGAGTGTAGTAAAGTCTTTCAGGCCAAGGAAAAACAAAGATAACATCCTACTCTACGCTTCAACACCATTACCATCCAACACCTACTCCTTAGAAACACTATCCTCTACTCATGTCATTTATATGATCATTGTAAAAGAGAGAACAATCACACAAACAAAGATAGGAGGGTAAACTAATATTCTAAAAAGCATTCATACAACAATTTTATTAAATTAATCCCACCAACACAAATATATCAATTAATCTTAAGACATATAAGCATACCTTTTAGACTTGATCATCTAGATACTTGTATTGATATCAAAATTTGTGAGTTATGCACTTATATGGTACTGGAACAATTCTCACCCAAGCTATCACACACAAGGTTAGTCCATTAACCATTTATGGCTAAATAAAGCACCTAGGCAAGGACCTTCTGATCCTCTTACCATATACCCCACCCTTTTCTACTTGAAATAACTCTAAGAACCTCTCCTTGAAATTCTTTTCACTACATACTTTATTCATACTCACAACTATATAACAGATCCATAAAGTATCATAATTTCCACCATAAACATGCATAAAACTTAGAACAACCCATTCAAACTAACAAAAAGTAGAAAACCACAAAAAAAAATCACTGACGCTCATCGCGAAAGCTCTCACAAAAGAGAGTACCCAATGCCAAAGCTCTTAATAAAATTCTCGCTCAACGAAACCAACTGTCGCTCAACGAACTAAGATGAATTTGGTTATAGAGTTGCATTGGTAATTGGTGCTCAACGACACCTTGTCACCGCTCAACATTAGACTATGCACAAAAATGGCCGCTTAGCGGTGAAGGCTAGCGCTCAATGGTCTAAAGCACAATTATTCTTTGACTTGTTTAACCAAGTTGCGCTCAACATCAAACTAGCATCGTTTAATGCCACATCAGAAATCAACAACTTCAAAACTAAGTTTTGGGGAACATGAGACCTATTTAGATTATCAAATTAGTATTTATGACTCAGCGTATGATTCAAAAGTCATTAGTTTAATTACATCATATTTAAGAAATTTGATCCATTAGTATAATATAGAATGGATTAACATGCATTATGCTTGTTGGAATAGTGAAAATAATAGTAATTGGTGTCATAGAGATATTAGTTGTTCCATGTGGTAGTGTTAACAAAGGTTATTCATGTTCTTTAAATGTCATTATATTATTTTGGTGCATCCAAGGTAGCATTTACTGTTTAAGATGATTGTCAAACGAATGGGTAAGTATGAATATGTATTCAAAATCTCACCATCATTTTTTCATTAAGGAAAAGAAAGAGTAAATGTGAAACAAAAAAGCAAAGTAGGAATAATTATCATATAATAATTATTATAATAGATAATGTAATTTTATATAGGCTTAAATGCTTACTTCGTCCCATGTTAAGAGATGAATTTTTGTTTAGTACCGAGTTTTAAAAGTGAAGACATTGAGTCGCAAAATTGTAAAAATTGTATAAATAAAGTCCTCGGAGTTAACTTTACGCTTACGTGGCCGTACTTTTTTCTCTCTCTTTTCTATTTCTCTCACCATTAATTACTAAAAACAGAAAAATATCTCACTTGTTCTAGCATAATAAATCTTAATTAATATTCGTTTGAACTAACATGCAGTCTATCAAGCCAGATTTACAAGTGCAAGCTGTACCAATCACAGACCCATTCAGCCCTTCCATTATAGATGAAAATTTAGAGGTTGTGATTGTGAGGTTAGTGTTAAGACTGGTTCCTGAGTGGCCATATTAAATTTTTGGTAGATATTCGTTTATATATATATATATATATATATATATATATATATATATATATATATATATATATATATATATATATATATATATATATATATATATATATATATATATATATATATATATATATATATATATATATATATATATATATATATATCCATAGACAACTTATAAAAAGTATCTTCCATGTTCTAATCAAGTATCTCATTCCTAGTGTCTGGTTTCTGATCTCAATGATCATGGTAATTAAAACCTTGTTTTGGTAGAAAATGTATCCCATGATCCACCATTGTTGTCATGATTTTGTTATTTCTCTCTTAAACTCTGATTGAGTTGCTGTAAAAACAATTGATCACAACTTTATGCACGTTCACTTTTAAAAGTGTCATGGAGTTATTTGATTGCTAACTAGATTTGGCTATGTTACAACAAAGAAACATTACCGGGAGGATTGGCAATAAACAGAAAAAGAGCTGAAAGAGGCCTTTCATTGTTGAAGGTCTCAAATTATTGTTTGTGGTTTGGTTATTCTTTTTGATATAAAAATAATTAAGAAAAATTCTTCAGTTTTCTAAATATTTTATGACATATTAGGAATTATTTTCTTGGATCATATGCAGATTGTAGTTGTGGATTTGCTTTCTGGAGAAGCAGGTGAAATTAAGCTGAGTTCAACGATGCTACGGAAGATTGAGGCTGAAAAGGTGAAACAACAAAATACAATATCGCAGACCTAGTTATTACAAAGAAATGCTTTAATTTTTTTTTCTTTTTAAATATTTCTAGAAAGATTGAGTTTAAGATGTCCATTACAACTGATATGTGGTTGCATGTTTTGGCACCCTTTCTAAGTTTGAAAGGCGGAAGGTCACGTTCTTTCAGAAAAAATTATTGTCTTTCTATTAGTTATTTTGATTTTGTTAACATTAGTTATTTTGAAAATAATTATATTAAAATATAAAACTGCGTGTAGCTTATGATATATAAACAATTAAATCCTTTGATTCGGAAACAATATAAAATATATTATTACATAAACCAATAAAAGGAACAAGAACAAGTGATATATTTTTTTGCTTAATGGTGAGAGAAATAGAAAAGAGAGAGAAAAAGGTGGCAGGAAGAGCAGAAGAGAGAGAAAAAAAGTTCAGTCAAGTTAACGTCGTTTCTATTAACTTAACGAATAGGACTTTATTCATATAATTTTTACAATTTTGGGACTCAATGTCTTCACTTTTAAAACTGGGTACTAAACATAAATTCACCTCTTAACATGGAGACGAAGTAAGCATTTAAGCCTTATATATATATATACATATATATATATATATATAT